CAAGAAGAGACAAACACCTGGCTGGAGGCTAAGGGGCAGGAGAGGCTCAAGAGAGGAACTCGGGATCATTGAGGCTTCCTTGAGTCAAGCTCTGGCCAAGCTCTAGGAGAATAAAATCTGAGTTCTCTTCATAAAATTGGCATAATGAGGGAGTTCATAGGCTCAGGGAGACACACCCTCTGCCTCAGCAAGGTGACCCCTCTCAAAGAGACATTGAGAAAAAAACATTAGCAGACCATTAGACTCACCTCACAGAAACCTGCTTCTTAGGACTGAACACTTCCTATGGAAAGTCACAACTGACAAGATATGCCTATAGTCGCCAGGATGGACTATTCATGCTACACTAATGAGCTCTCTCTGGCCCAACAGTGTACCCAGGGCAATGGCTATACAATACTCCTGCCACAGGCCCCACTCAGGATGAAGGGCTCTGCTCTCTGAGACACAGTGAGTACAAGCTGCGTCCTGCACTTGTCCCCAACCTCTTTGCAAGGCAAAAAAAGGGGGGGCATAAAGATTCACACAGTGGCTCTTAAAGAGTTGGGTGTGCACACATGTGCAAGTGGATATGCATGGTTATGTGAGGTGTGCATGCACGTGTATGTGTGGAAGCCAAAAATCAGCCTGGGTGTTGCTCCTCAGGAGCTATGCACCTTGGTTTTGAGACAGGGTCTTTCCCTGAACTGAGGACTCCCTGGCTAGGCTTGCTAGTGAACACCAGGTATCTGTTGCTCTCTGTCCCTACAGTGCTGATACTGTAAGTAATCTCCCACCTGCCTGTACTTTTGTGTAATTACCAGGGATGGAGCACAGGCCTTATTGCTTGCACAGCAAGTACTTTACTCACTGAGCTATCTCCCCGTCACGCTCTCTGAAGAGTTCTAAGCGATCCTGTAATTCCAACACTTGCGAGGCTGAGGCAGGAGGATTGTGAGTTTCGGGAGAGCTTTGACAACACAGCAAAGTTGGGTCACAGAAACAAACAACAAGCATTCTGTACGAGCTGGGCATAGTGACGCAAACCTGTAACCTCAGCTACCCTGGAGGCTGAGGCAGGAGGATTGTGAGTACTAGACAAGATTGGGCAACATAGCAAAACTCTGTCTCAAGTAAGCAATCAAAGAAGGAGTTCTGTACAGAAATGACATGAGTCATTTTCCTCTCGGTTAAATACTGGAGCAAGGCACATGGCCACATCTAACTGAAAGGGCAGAGGAAAAATGTACCCTTACCATGCCCTCAGAAGGTATCTGTGAACAATCCTAGAGGGTTAGATAAGGTGGCTACTATGGGATTGGTAGGTGACCCCAGGACATAGAATCTTGGCAACCTTTTTATACCTATTATAGAGAACAGCAGGGCACTAACCTAGACACTGATCTAAGCCCTCTAACACTCTGGAGACGTCAGCCTAAGGTCAACAGAGTAGCAATATGAAAGGCTCAGGGGCAGACACTTCAAACTAGGTCCCAGGGCTTGCCCAGACATGGAAAGTGCCCACTAAGATCTTCAGTCAGGATAACCTACTTCCTGATTTTTCAAGGCCTTTGGGGCGAGTCTTCCTAAGCCCATAAACTAAGAACATCAGAGTTGGGTGGGTCCCCTGGAGCCTGGCTGCTTCGGTGTGGTCTCTGGATCCACAACATCAGCACCACCTTCCCCTGGGAGCTTGTGAGAGACATCCGGTCTCAGGCCCCACCCAAAACTACTAAACCAGAATCTATGTTTTACAAGATTCCCCAGGAGATGTGTATGCACATCAGAGCCTGGGAAGTCCTTCCCCAGCACTAATTTAGGCCAGCATTTTCATTTCACAAATGAGGCACTGACACCCAGAGGGGAGGAGGCTGGCCCAAAGTCACACAGCTGGTTCCAGTCCTGGCTCCACCACTTGCCAGAGACTTTGAGTAAGTCATTAAAAAATGCACTGACTCTCACTTTCCTCTTCTATAATAAAGGGTACCACACTCAGCTCCAAGTGCTTCTGAATGCATCAGATAAGACGGCATCCAAATTAGGATTCATGAACATCAACTGTTACTATAGTCCAAGCTCGCTGCTCTAAGGCTACCCTCTCAGCTCCCAACACATGGCAGCTTTATTACAGGCAGTACTGATTGGGCACTGCAGGGTAGGGGTGAGTCCTGGGCCCATGGCAGCTTCTCTACCTACACTGCCGATCGGGTACTGCAGAGTAGGGTGAGTCCTGAGCCGGTGGAGTCTATAGATCCCCCTCTGCCATTTGACCTTAAACTACTTCCCAAATTGTTCCCTTGTTCCTGGCTTTAGTTTAATCATTTATCAATGATTTGTCTCATAAGGTTATTGAAGGCCTTTGATCGTTGAATAGCCTGTGGTATAGAATAAGCCAGAAATTACAAGCTATCCAAAAGAAGGAGGCCCTTGGGAGTCTATGGGTCTTTCCCAGAATGGTTCTACCTTGACACATCCAAGTATCTCAAGTGCCTAGGTTCTGGGGTTTTTTCTTCTTCTTCTGAGGTTTGAGCCCATAGCCTCACACATGCTGTGTAAGTTCTCTGCCACGGAACTATATACTCTCAGGTCCTGAAAACATCTCTTCTGCAATGAATGAAATGAACTCTTGAGGCATCCAGGGCCCTCTCTCTGGAATCACTGAAAAGATGGGGTGAAAGGGGAGCGAGTCAAACTAGAGGGCAGCTGTTTTCAAATCTTTACAAGCTGTGCTGGGAGAAGTTTAGACCTGGTCTCATTGGCTCTAGAGAACAGAAACAGAAAGTTCAAATACGCCCTCTCCAGTCGGTACTCTGGGCTGGAAGGAGCCCCAGTAGCAGCTCTGGTGACCACTAGTCCTCGGGTGAGTGAGCTGCTGGGTAGAGGCCTCCCTTGCTGCAAGGCTACCTTAGGCTTCAGCCCGCCTGATGGTGAGTGCTAACATCATCTCGGACACCTTTCAAATACAGATTCCCAGGCTCCACCCCAACCCGATCAGAATCTCTAGGGTGGATCTGGGATCCATTTTAACAGCTCCCCACCCCCACAATGGTTCTCATAACAGGAGTGTGTGTTTGGAGGCAGGACAATCTAAGGATTGGTTCCCATGGGTTCTTGCTCTGTTTCTCTAACCAACCCTTACCAGGGTCTAGGGATTCTGGAGACTGTGGCTTCACTAGGTTTCTGTTCTTCCCAAAGAATGTACTCTTCATCTGGGCATTAAACAGGTGTTCTAGATCAAACACACACACACACACACACACACACACACACACACACGTAATCACACATACCACCTTATTTTTTTTTTTTTTTTTTTTTTTTTTTTTTTTTTTTTTTTTTGTAGCAAGATTGGTCTTGAACTTACTTTCTTCCTGCCTCAACCACCAAACACATTCTCCCTTATCTCTGTAGTCTGCTCTCCTGGAAGCCACCTTCTCAGATGACCGGACTGTGGTCTTGGAGGAAGCATGGAGGTGTTGGGCCTGCCTTCCTTAGGAACAGGGAGCTTTCTCCCAACACACCCTAAAGGCCCAGAGCATTCCCGCAACTGGGCGTCCTTCTTGCCATTCTTTCCCCCTAGGGCATCCTGGACCACGCCTTAAATGGACACAAAGGGCTCTGCCTACTTCTCTCCTTTGGGCCATTCTCACGGTTTGGCAGGCCGTGGGTCACTCAACTATTAGTGCACAACTCCTTCCAGGAAGATGTTATCCTTGGAGATTAGATACCCGCGCAGAAGCAACGGGTCCACACCCGCAGCAGAAAGGGAGTAGCTAACAAAAATATAATAAAATAAAAATAAATAAACAAAAAGGGAAAGGGAGTGGCTGCCTTTTGCCTTGACCTCACAGCGCCACCTGGTGTCAGCCGGCACAGAGCAAACTCGGCGCCTACGGATCCCCGCCGCTCCCACGTCCCACGCAAGCAGACCACGCAGCTCCAGAGAACTGCACTGACCCTCAGTGCTTCATGGCCTGGCTGCCTATGCATTACAGCCTTCCTATGGTACCCGGGCTTTATCTCAGAGTTCGTGTTGCCCCTTAGGCACTGCGTGGCTATAGGAGCAAGAACGAGTACCAGGCCCCGTCTGATGGTAACGTGCTGGGCTGAGAAGACGTGCCCGTGCAGCCAGCAGAGGGCAGCTGGTCTCCACCTTTGGACCCCAAAGTTGCCCATCCTGGTAGTCCTGTGGGCCCCGCCCCGGGGAGCAGGACCGATTTGTATTTATAGAATGAACCATTGTCCTCTGGGCACAAACCTCCCTGAGAACCTCCCGTATGTATTGACCCCTGTTTGAGAGCTGTCAATCTTTGACCTCCAGGTGTTGGACCTGTGTTCCTTTGCACTTCCCTATCCTCTGCTCCATTGGGGTAGGTCCCACGAGAAGCATTGCTGGCCTGCCTTGTCTGGCTAATACAAGCAAAAACACCTACTGTTTAAATTCTACTCGTTGTTTTGAAAAAGTTAGTGTGAGCTCAATTTCATGGACTGACACGGAAGGTGGCTGTGAGGTATGGCAGGTGCGCCTAAGATAAGCACCTCTGCAGCCCTTCAGACAAGCCTACTTCCCAAGCCCGGTCTTCCTTGTTCCTGGATGTGGGGCCCTAACAGGGAAGCAGACCGCCAGCTGTGCACCTCCTCCCACCCCAACTCTTCCCGGAGGAAGTGAGATTTCTGGAGTTGACACAGAAAGTTCCTCTGGCCAAGTTTCTCTTTACAAGGGGCTTTCCAAGTTGAAGCGCTGAGCACATTGTTGGGTCCTAACTGAGCCTCTCAAAAGCCAAGTTCACAAAATTCCCATGGCCTGAGGTGGGGTGGAGGGCAATCAGGGCAAGGCAGTGGCGCTCGGTTGCTCGGTTCCCTTAGAACGGGTACTACAAAGTAAGCAGACCTTAGAAAGCTCTTTGAGTGAATCCTCTCTGATCCATTTCCACCAGGCCTTGCTGTAATTGTTCTCCTCTGATTCCTGACCTGGATCCAAGGTGTGGCAGGGCCCCACAGCCAAAAGATGGACACCAGAGTTCTGTTCTAAACTGCTTTATTGACCAGATGAGAAATCAGCTTCCGCACAGCCCATGCCTACAGCAAATGCCTGCAGACAGTGTTGTCCCTTCAGTCCCTTGGGAGCATCAAGGCCCAGCCCTTCCCCTTCCTCCCTGTGTACCTGACCTTGGGGCCTGGAAGCTAGTGAAGGTCCCTAAGAGAAGGGTGGGATGGAAGAGGCAGGGTCTGGGTCTGAGGTGAAGGGGAGTGAGGGCTGGAGGCAGAGGGAAAGGGTGTTACAAGAAGGCACGCTACCTCCGTCTCCCTCCACATTAGATGAACTGTTAGGAGCAGCGAGAACAAAGCACTACCCTGGGCTATGTTGGCACAGAGAGAAACTGTCCATTCCAGCCACCAGACCCAGGGTTAGGACCAAAGCTGACCATTCTCTTATATTCCACAATAAATGTGAATGCATGTTCAAAGTATTTCATTAGGCTCTCCCCTTCCCCATCAAACAGGGAACTTGATGCCTAAGGGAGTCAGGCAACCTCCAGATTGTGGGGTCCTCTGACCTGGGTGCTTCTCCATTCCCAAGTGGGATAATACCCATTCCACTTTCGAAGGCAAGAGCCCAAAGAAAGAGCTCCTTCCTGTGGTCCACAACCTTGTCTGCACATCTCTGCCTCCCAACGGGACTCCCCTAACTGAGAAGCCTCAGGTTTATTCTGAAGGGCACTAAGAAGTTCAGCTTCCTTCCTAGATGAGACTCTCTGGGAATACAATAAACTGTTGCCTTCCCCAGGCCAATCCTGGCCCTGCCTCCCCCTCCCGCCAGGTCTGGGCTCCAAGGACATGGGTTCTGGTGTCCTGGCCAGGAGAGGGTGGACATTTGGTCTGTGGGGGTGAAGCGTAGGAAGAGGAACCTGTTCTCTCTAAAGGGGTGACAGGTGTCTCCTAAAGGTGGTGGTATCAAATGCCAGGCAGAAGGAAGCCCTTAGTGGGGTAGGAGCTCAGGCAGACCCCTAAACCAAAAGAAGCCAGATACCCAAGTCCAACATTAGTGCTGTGTGCCAGGGCTGAGTGAGAGAGAGAATCTTGGAGGTGTCCAAGGCTTCTGGGCAGGGACTGACGACAAAAAGCACAGGAGTAGGCAGGGTACACAGGCAGCGGAGGCTCACTCTGAGTGGACCAAGGCACCAGCTCCTTGTCCAAAGCCAAAACCTTTGGGCCCAAAGTTTTTAGCATAGCATCCTGCAGAGAGAAAAGAAGAGAAGGGGTAAAGAAGGGGTTCCTGTCCCCATAGCAGCTCCTCCTGCCACTCCTTGTGCCTAGTCTCGAGAAGGACAGTCCACCAATGTCCACCTCCCCATCCCTATTGGACTCCTAGCCTCAACAGTGAGGACCCATTTCCCCATCATTGCGAAGATGGAATGAATCGTCTGCTGTAAAAAACACTGGACAGGTAGGTATTAGGATCCTAGGACTATGTCCTATGACCTTTGTCCTATGACCCTTGTCCCTGCCCTATGTTCCTTCTGACTCTGGCCAAGTCCCATTCTCCCTCTGGTCTGGTTTCACCATCTGTGTCATGAAGGGGATGCTCTGGCTCTTGGAACGGATGGCAAGGAGCTGGTTCGTTTAGTTAGTGACGTCACAGGCCCTTGGTCTCCTGCCTCCTCCAGCCTTCCCCTCTTCAGAGAGAGGTGGAAGTACCCACCTTTGCAGTAGATCTCCCCATCCTTGTCTGCCAGGGTGGTCGACTCAAGGCCTTTGCCACATTTGGCACAGCGGAAGCAGGACTTATGCCAGGACTAGGAAAGAAAGGAAACAGTTAACGTTATGGAAGTGACTTAGGCAGTCCACCATAGTCCAATAGCTTGCCATAGTGGGCAGATATTTTACAAGTCAGGCAGGAGTAGGGGAGTGGCTAGGAGAATGTGGTCCAGACACAGAGGAAACAGACCAGGGACCAAGCACACTCTAGTAGCAGGCCACCAAGAAGTGTTACAATGACTCGCTGCTTGGTAGTTCCAGCTGCACCAACCGTGGAAGGGGTCACAGCCCACTCGGGTAGCTGCAACCCCCGCAGGCTTCCAAGCAAGCCTTCTCCACACCATTTTGCCTGTAAAACTGGAAAGGCTCTGGCTTTGTCTTGGCACTGCCGCATGTGACTTGATTAGCTGCCCAGATGTCCTCCCCGGGAGACCTCTCTGTTTATCTTGCAGAGTAGAGGTGAGGATCTAATGTGGAAATGGCTGGGGCACAGCCGCAGAATGGGTGTTTCTCACTGGACCAGCGCAGCCTCTGAAGTTCTAGAACTCGGTGCCTCGGTTCGGCTCTCAGAGCATAGTGGGTTCTTATTCCCTTTGCTAGCCAGCTGCCAGAGTTGAATGACTTCCCCAGGGCCAGTGCTCACATGGGGCTAGGCACGGAGGAAGCCCTGAGTCAAATTTGTATAATTTTTTTTGTTTTTTTTTGTTTGTTTGTTTTTCGAGACAGGGTTTCTCTGTGGCTTTGGAGCCTGTCCTGGAACTAGCTCTGTAGACCAGGCTGGTCTCGAACTCACAGAGATCCGCCTGCCTCTGCCTCCCGAGTGCTGGGATTAAAGGCGTGTGCCACCACCGCCCGGCAAATTTGTATAATTTTTTGAGAGGAGAATGAGTCTCTGTCACAGAAAAGGGCCACAGAAGGCCCTTTGTGGTTCCAAGAGGTGACTTAAGGCACCATAGGGGCAAAGAACTTCCCAAGATAGGAAGGACTCAAGTTTGTGTGTGGTGTACACATACACACACACACACACACACACACACACACAGCAACACAGCATCAACAATACAACTCAACAACCAGCTCCCATCAGCAGCAGCTGAACAAGCTGAGGTGTTGTGTACACAGAGGAGACGGGTAGCATTCAGTTGGGACAGCAAACAATGCTATGAAGGACAGTGACTTCCTCAGCGTAACCACCAAGACCCAGGCTGGAGGGTAAAACAAGCGGATCTCCTGGTCACTGGACCTCACCCAAGAGACAGCAGCAGTGATCCTCGGGGAGCTGAGACGGGTGGACGAATGAGCTTAATTCTCCTCGGTGCTCTGTGCAAACCTCTGTACACAGGCTGTCACCCGGAGTTTACATCCTTTCAGCCACCCTCAATATAAGCTCAGTATCTCTTCTCATTCACACAACACTGAAAGGCCCTCTTTGCTCCTTAATGCTTCTTAAGGGGGTTTCTTCCTCCGTTTTCCTTTGAACTCAAAATGTTCTTATTCTACTCCTCATTACAATCTGTATTTTTTTTTAATATTTATTATTTTATGTATATGGTGCTCTACCTGCAGGTACACTTGCAGGCCAGAAGAGGGCATCAGATCCCATTATAGATGGCTGTGAACCACTATACAGTTGCTGGGAATAGAACTCATGACCTCTGGAAGAGCAGCCAGTGCTCTAAACTACTGAGCCATTTCTCCAGTAAGTCACTGCCCCTCCCCCAGCACAATCTTAACTTTACCCTATGCCATGGAAATAAGGACTCCTGGGTATTTCTTCAGTAATTTCCTATTCCCATGGACAAAGGGGGGGAAACTGACTTGTGATAGTAATGTCTCCTCTTTTTTCCTTCCTTTTGGGGATTCAGTCTGGGATTACAGGTATGTGTGGCCATGACTGACTCCTGCTTTCATGACATTTAACACACAGCTTTGCCCGTTAGAGTGTATAACCTCATGTAATCTTCGAACCATTTTGTTTGTCAGGGACCATCACTCCTTGGCCCACATTACACGTAACTATTGCTTAGGATGGCTGAACTGGTCCCAGTGCACAGGAGTAAATGGTAAAACCACGATACAAGCAGGTTACCTAGGACCCAGGCAGTTCATCGCCCTAGTGGCACTAACAACCCTTCCTGTCTTTGCAAGTGTGGAAATGTTTCCAAAGGGTTTAAGTGACCCATAGTAAAGTCAACAGTAGTAAGAGCCAGGGCTTCAGAATCAGGCAAACCTGGCTGAGCTCCTGGCTCGCTTTCTAGCTAGATGATATGGGCAGGTCATTCATTCCTCTGGCTCTCGTTTTCTTGGTCTGAGTGATGGAGATAATCTCAGCAGCAATGAAGGGGCTACCATTCCCACGTGTTAGTTCCTATTCCATCACTCCCGAACCCCATTCTTCAAAATCAAAGAGCAGTCAAAGTCATGGCCCAAACCAAAAAGAGCTGGCCATGGGCTCTGGGCATCATGGATCTATTGGTTTGCTGTGTGACCATGGTTAAATCGCTCATCCAGCCCAGGCCTCACAAAAGCCTTCTCTGGCCACACTGCTTGAGGGCCATGTGCTGTGATCTGCTGACTGTTAGTCTAAGACCACAAACCCCCAGGGCTCTCCTGCTCTTTCCCACCAAGACCTGCACATCAAGGAAATGATTGCTGGGCTGTCAAGGAAATGATTGCTGGGCTGTTCGGACAGTTGGTTGGCTAGGGTGATTCTCATTAGGCACTCCTGACTGTCAGAATACCATTGGGACGGTAGTCATGGCAATTATAAATGGTGTGGAAAAAAACTTCCTGTAGGTTAGTAGGCCCTACCAGGAGAATCTCTGTCCTCAGGGTTAAAGGGTGAGTTTCTGGCAGAAGACATCCCACGAAATCAAATGTATATTCCAAGATGATTTGTAAATATTTCTGGAACCAAAACTCCTAAAATCTGATTAAAGCTGTGGCTCTTCTTTGAAAAAGACATGCTCTTAGAAAACCCAGTCATGTAATCTTAGGGGGTAGGCCCTTCAATACCCATCTATATTCTTAGGCTCTAGCCCTCAACTCTAGAGTACCAGATCTCGGAACCCTGTGTATGCATCCTAGCAATGCCCTACAAACTGACCAGAGGCAATCTGCACCACTAAGGATGATACAGTTCAGTTCGTGGGTTAGGTGAGCTCCCCCTGGGGTCTGGAACAAGCAACCCACAGGGACAAGGATACTCAGTTTCTGGAAGGACGCAAAGTCCTGTGCTTGGGCTGCTGCCCTAAGCAGAGCTGGAGTCATCAATTGTAAAGCACACCTCCCTTTCGCCTTCCTTACGCCCGCCCGGGAGCATCTTACCTTGCCGGCACCAATCACTTTCTCCGCAGCATAGACCGCCTGGCTGCATCGGGGACAGCGCTCAGAGCCACCAATCTTCTGGGCGAACTTGGATGCATTGGGGTTGGTGGTGGGCCTATGTCCGGGGGCCCTACAAGCAGAAGTACGTGTAGTGAGATGAATGATACCGCAGGGGCAAAACCCTCATGCCTCTTGCCAGGGACAGGGCCACCAGAGCTAAAGCCACCATGGCCTCTGAAATCCCAAAGCTCAGCATAATATCAAAACAACACATTTTCCTCAACACCTACTTAAAGGCCCTAGAATCATTTAACACATCGTTTGCTAAGAATCCCCCCTCAGCCCCTCATTTCTGCAGCTGGTCTATTATTAGATTCTTTCCAGGAGAAGTCTTCTGACAGCCCCATTGGGGCAATGACCTTGGCTCAGATTTGGTAACTCTTCATCGTTCCATCCGCTTCCCCATTCCTAAGACAATTGCCAGGCTACCAGCCACTCAGCAGCTCAGAGGCAAGAGATGGCGGAGGGTGAGGGTTGGGAGACCCAGTGACACCCTGAGGCAAGTCCCAGGCAAGGAAACTACTTCCCCTTAGCAAGGGTGAAGGGTGGCGGGGCTCTGACACTCCTCTGTGCTTTCAATTATAAAATGAAGAAATTGAACTATATGACTCTTGGGGCCCCTTCCGGCTCTAGGATGAATGTCCCAAGCTGATCCTCAGCTGCCCCACAAAGAGAGCGGCTGTGTGACTTCCTTTCGTTTATTTTCATTTTATTATTTGTTCAGCTTTTCTGTTTGATTTTGGTGTGCATGTATGTGTGTATGTGTACTTGTATGTATGTTCATGAGTGTGTCCATGTAAGGTGAACTTGCATATGTGTGTTCATACATTTGAAGGCCAGAGGCCAACATTAGGTCTCCTCTTTCATCACTTATCTTTTGAGACAGGTCTCTCAATGATTTGGATATAACAGCTGACCAGCAAGTCCCAGGTATCCCCTTGTCTCCACTTCCTCAACACTGGGGCTATAAGTGCACACTGCCAGTACCCAACTTTTACATGGGTACTAGAGGTTAAACTCAGGTTCTCATGTTTATGTGCCAAGGGCTTTATCACTGAGCCATTTCTCCCCTGCCTGGCTTTTGGTTTGTTTGTTTGTTTCTGAGAGTCTTTATTTGTAGCTCAGGTTGACCTTGAACTCAAGATCTTCCAGGTTCAGCCTCCTCTCTAGAAGGACAGACATGGGCCACTACACACAGCTCTCTCTTTTAAATCAATGGCTTCCCAGACTTCTCACTGCTTAGCCAAAAGTGGTTGATTGGTGTCCATTTCAGGAGCAGGGTGAGAACTCAAGAAAAGGTAGAGAGATCCTGTACTCACTCCTCATGCTTGATGCCCAGAGACTCCCCCTTGTCCATACTCAGGGTTCCTGCGCCCTGCCCGAAGCCATAGCCTTTTGGCCCATACTTCTTGCCATAACAAGACTTGCAGTAGATCTCTTCTCCGTGCACGGCCACAGTGGTGCTGTCCAGATTCTTCTTGCAGACCACTGGGGAGGAGACAGGGGAATGGTGAGATGTAACTCTCAGGGGCCTCCCGGGAGCCTTATGCAGAAAAGGAGACCAGCGGGGTGAGAAAGGGGCTGGCTTCCAGGAATATGCGACTCTAGGTGGTCAGGGCCTGACTTCCAAGAATCTAGGGGTGCTTCTCTCAGACCTCTATACCCTAGTACCTATCCAAGTCTCACTGCACCCCAGGTTCAGAAGCCACAGCCTAGGCAGACTGTAGGCCGCAGTTTCACATGCTGCCTAATACAGAGATCGGGAGTCCCAATCAGAAGGGCATGGAGGAGAGCAGGGTTTTCCTGCCTCCGGCAGGGGCATGAAAAAGACACATCTGGGTGTGTCACGACAACAGGAGCAAGGTATGCAGGTGAAGCGATGCACCCCGAAGAGAAATGGAACAAGGATCAGACACCCAGCATGGTGGGTTGTGAGATGAGATCCAAGTCATGATGCCCAGAACTCGATCTGTAGTTTTCAGTCTTAGAAGGCACTGAGAAGAGGGGCTGCACCCAGTGGAAGAATGGCCTGGGTCACAGGATAGGAGAGGCAGGATGCAGTGCGCTAGAGAAACTTCAAGCCTCCTACAGGCTTCTGTTGCTCTCACGATGAGCTGTGCCAGATACCCAGCATTCAAGGGGAGAGTCTGGACTCAGATCCCAGCTCCCCATTCCATCTGGGTGGCTGGGACAAACTGTTTTGCCTTTCCAGGCTCAGCGTCCTCATTTATGAGTGTGGATAAACACGTCTGCCCTAAAAGGAAGTTAGGACAATCAAGGGAGATCTTAGCTATGACATACTAGCTCAGCACCCTGTGCACCAGGGTTCTTAATAAATGTCAGCCACTCTTTCTAGCCTTGCACACAGGACATACCAGGGGCAAGGGAGCACATGCTCCATCTTCCCACCTCGAATTGAGTCTGCCCAACTGGACTGCATCCTAAATACCTAAAACACCTCCTGTGAAGCCAGAAGTCTGCCAACACCACGGAAGTGACCATTCGTTACGACTTGCCATTCTCCTGCCTTTAAAGGTCCAACACTCCTCCAGTTCTCTCTGAGCCCCAGGTTGGGGACTCCAGTCTAAATAAGGACCCTCCTGTCCAGCACTTGAGATCCCTACCTCATTCCAGCACTCTCAGGCACCCAAATATGGAGCCTCCCACCTCCTCCCCTGGGGCTTGGCTCTGGGAAGAACACTAAGGCAGAGATCAACAGGCCAAGGCTCCAACATTCCCTTCTAGGGCGGGAAGTCAGGAACCAGCCTTGCAGGGAACTGCTTCCCTTAGACCTACTTTGAACTGGGAATTCCAAACTTGGGAGGGAAGGAAGAAAACAGAGATAAGAGCCCAGAAGAGAAGGCCTTTTGTGGCTACACTCCAGCAAAGGATGAGGAACTTGACTCTGGAGACCCCAGGACCTACAAGACCACACACCCTGTAGGTGGCTCCCTGGCACTCTGTCAAGACCGCCTGCTCCTTTCTTCTTTGGTTTTCTCAGCGGTACAGTCCTGCCCACTGTAACTCCATCATAGCCTCCAGCTCCACCCAGGGATAACAGTAGGGGACTCAGCTCACTTGTGGGGTCTCTCACAAAAGCTTGGTCCAGGGAAATTTTGAATATATCCTTCATTCAAGGAAGGCCTAAATAAATGTCTGCTAAATCAGGTTAAGCAAAACAGAAAACAAAACAAAAACCCTAGATCAGTCAGTGTATTCGTTCAGAAACTGTTTCCCCGATGCTACCTGGCTCCATGGGGCCGTGTGATGCTCTTTGGGAATATGGAAAAGAGGCACCCACCCACCACACCCAAAGATGGAGCACGGCTCTGCCTCTGGAAGGAAAACGAAAACATACAATAAACCCACTCAGGGTCACAGAGTCTTCCAGAAGCAAGGCCAAGTCAGATCCCAGCTCTGATTTCCAGTCCTGGCTTGCCACCAGGCTAGGGCTCCTCTAGAGAGGCAGAAAGTGAAAACTGACTCAGCCTGGGGGTCAGAGAGTGTCTGAGGCTTCTCCAAGTTTCCCTCGTGCCCAGACTCTGGGGAACAGCTTAGGGCCCACCAGCAGGCTTCTGTTCCAGTGTCCACCAGCGCAGAGCTAAGACAAACAGGACTTTCTTGTCCACAGAATGGCTGCTCAGCCCAGCTCACCCCAGAAGAGCTGGTTACCACTCATGGTTGGGCATACCACCTCAGGGGAGGCTCTCACCAGACTTGAACTCAAGCTGTGTCTATCACTCACTTGACGTCTAGTGGGAAGAGGCTTCTCTACTGCATTGAGGGGGCAGAGTGGAAAAGAGGGAAGGCTTACTGCAGGCCTCTACCTCAGGCCAAACCCAGGAAGATGTGGTCTCTCTTATCTTTCCTCTTGTGTCACCCCGGCTTCTTCATACCGATCCTAGACCTCCAGAAGCGTGTATACAGTGACAAACTGAGTTGATGCACAGCCAAGGACTGGAATTAATAGACCCCCTGAGGAGGAAAAGCCCTTTGATTCTATGGGTCACCATGAATACTATGAATTTCAGTCAACCATTTGACTGGAAGGGGAACTATGCTCCTCCCGTTCCTGACCAAATCTCTAGTGAGATCCTAACATAGGCCGTGCTGTTCAGGGGTACTAGGAGTAAGACGGTGGGGATAACACCCCAGCATGCCTAGACAGCACAGGGTTCCTAGTCAGCTGGAGCTGACACCTGGGAACTGCACAGACCCAAGACGCCAGTGACACACCACTCTAGGGTCTAGAGTGACAGCTGCAGAGTACGGCCTCCCTAGCCTCATTTCCTGCCATTGCTTCTAATCCCCGACACCCCCTCAGACACACCCTGGCCCAGGCCCTGCTCCTTCCTTCCTGGACCACCCCCTGAATTCCTGACCTCCATCCACGCCTGACCAGAAATTAGTCCTCCACATCAGGACTTGAGCCAGAGTTCTGGACACAGCTATAGCTGGTCCCTTTCAGTCAGTGATCAAGCAACACTGGAGAGCAGAGAGGGGCCTTGCAGACTCTGACGTCCAGACCCCCTTCCCAACTGGCACCAAGCTGTCTCTCAGTCCCTCTGGAAGGAAAAAAAAAACCCTTAAAAAGCCCTTACATGATGAGCTGCTGTGGACCAGCTGCGGCTGTCAACAGCCTCCTCGGCAGGCTGGAAGCCAGCAGAGCTCCACAAAAGCTTGTCATCTCCTCGTTTATCACGTGAGCCCAGGAACTGGCACTCCGGGACTGCTGGGCAGTGTGAGGACCCTGCCGCCCTGTGCTGGGTGGCCTCAGGCTGGCATCAGGTAAACTTGTAACACATGAGCCAACTGGATCCCACTCCAGATCAAGCCACGGGTTGGGGGGGGGGGAGCAAAGGGGTGCAGAACCTCTGACTGATCTCATGGAGCGGGAGGTAGTGGCCTTCATTTCCTGTAGCTCTCAGGAGGGCTGGGACGCCAACTCCCGTGAGCTCTCCTGATTACTCCACCTTCTTCCTATGGAGCTCTTATCAATGACCGTGTGGGAGTTTGTGTGTTTACTGAACACACACACTTCTTGAAGTGCTTTCTTTGTTTTGCCAACTCTTTCCTTTCGGTTCTCACAGTTAACCCTGTGCAGCATTGGACCTGTCTATCATCTCACAAACAACAGAAAGGAAATTGCAATCCCTGCCCTAATCAGATAACTAAGACACGGGTACTGTCTGCCACCCGGGGCCTGTCTCCCAGGAAACAGCTGCTAGGGTTGGTTCTCTCTTTACTGCACACTTCTGCTCTGACCACAAAGAGCAAATCATTTAGGAATCGAGGAGGGTTTCTCCAAGTCGCCACTTTGAGTACACATCACCGGACCCAGGTACAGGAGGAGCGGGAGTGGAAACCAGGGGACACACTCTGCTGAGAAAAGGCAAGGGAGAGGGTTAACGTCCTCCTCTCTTTGACCTTAGGGTTGTGGCCTCTCTTACCTAACAAGGGGTGACCTGAAGATTAGTGCGACTTTGGGGTGACACGGTCTTTCTCAGCAATGCTTAGGACAGTGGCAGGAACAAAGAGAGTGGAAAGTTTCCTTGAGTGAGCCCTTCCAGCCTGGCTCTCAGCCCTGCCCCACCCCACCCCCACACACCCCTGCCACCCCCACCAGCACTGGCCGGTTCACCCCTTGGAAAACAGCTTCTGGAAGGGAACAAAGAGGCCCTTAAGTGTTCCCCTCCCCAGCTGCGCTTCAGCCAAATGTCAAGCTGTTTACATCCCTAGGGACCAGTTCCCTGGGGTGTCGACAGGCCCAGCTTGCAGTGAGGGGGACAGGGGGACAGGGGGACGGGACAAGCCTCTCCAGGTCCCTGGTGGCAACAGCAGGCCTTGGTGGTACTCACTGCATAGGAAGCAGGATTTATGGAAGCTGTTGCCCTCACACTGGACCTCCTCGGCAAAGTACACCGTCTTCTGGCACACCCCACATCGCTTGCCACCTCCCCAGTTTGGCATTCTGGAAAAGAACACAAAAATAAGAATGAGGCATGGAGAGGAAGCAGACTCCCCGGGCAGGGAGGCTTCCTAGGGGATGGTCAGTCCTGGGGGCTTACTTCTGGTTTGTTCTTAAGACCAGCTCCAGTCACTACTGGCAAATGTATGTGTGTAGGAGGGTCCGCTCTTCCTACCTCATCCTATTTCCCGGGGAGCTGCTGTGTGTCGGCCCTATGCTTGGCACCCTATACAACAAGATCACAAGAGACGAGGTTCACAAAGAACATGCCGGAGCAGTGCAAGCCAGCTAGCCGGTGGCAGGTGTCACCAGGGCTCATTACAAAGAATGACACCCGAGGGGCAGATCAAGCGGGGTTTGTAAATCTTAAAGCAGTGCACAGTTCACGAGTAGGGAAAACTCATATTATCAAGGGAAGAGCATATGGGAAGGAAAGTACCCCAGATAGGCGAGAGAAGGGACATCACAATCCACTGTCCCAGAGTCATCAGTTCTAGCAGTGGAAGGGACAGGGTGAGGTCCCGGGGAGTGCAAAAGCACTGGGCAGTGCTCTTCCTCCTGACCCAGGAAGCCTCCTTTGGAATAGTTACCATTTGATCCACACACACAGGCATTATGCATTCTCTTGTATGTAACATAGATGATGGGCAAAGGGTTGAGTTGGGCATGGTGATCCATGCCTGAGATGCCAACATGTAAAAGGCTGAGACGAATTCGAGGCCAGCCTGAGCCACATAATGAAAAAACAAACAAACAAACAAAAAACAAAAAACCAAGCTAGATGTGGCAGAAGAGCCGTTAGCCCCAGCACTCTAGATAGAGATGGAGGCCGGAAGATCATAAATGCAAAGCCAGCTTCAGATAGAAGGTGGGTTTGAAGCTAGTCTGGGCTACACGAGACTGTGTCTCAACAAGAGAAAACTAAAATAAACAAAAGGGTTTAAAACACAAGAGACTGGCACACGGGGCACTGTCCCCTAGCGCTATGACGTCAGATTGGCAGCAACGCCTATGCCTGAAGAGCACTGGAATTAGGAAAGGCATTGGCCCAGCCTAGGACTCCGATGGTGATTCCAGACAGGCTGGGCCAACGTGGAGATGTTCAGGTGTTGGTTCTGAGCTGTGGTCCATATACCAGACTATTCAGTCCAGTTTTGATCCTGCCACTCACTCACTGTGTGGTCCTGGACAGGGGGCTTGGACTTCACAGACCTTGGTTTCTGCATCTTGAAAATGGGGCTGAAAATAAAAGTTCTTTCATAGACCATTTCTGGGGACTAGAGGAGCGCGGGTTGCCAAGGGCCCAGCACACAGTGAGTCCTCGCCCGGGACTGTGGAACGGCTGATAGAACTTGCCAGGACACAGGGGTACATGCGGCAGGGATAAGGAGGACATCGACGTCCTTCAGCTGACGATCTGCTTCCTTCCTGTCACCCGACAAATAAGCCATAGGAGGAGCAGACGACACCGGTAGCTCCTTTGACAGAGGGCTCTGGAAGGAATACAGGCTCTTCAAGGCTGCCATGGGGGGGACATACATGAGGATGAGGGAAGCTGAGAGCTTTGTGCATGGACACAGGGTGCTAGGGAAGGAAAAGGATGGGAGACGCAGGAGTTTGATGTTCAAGAGCCGGAGAAGACTAATGAAAATGTACCCCCAAATCTGTGTCATGGAGTCCCCACACCCTGCACAACTGACACACAGGCACACACATGGAGTCCCCACACCCTGCATAACTGACACACGGCACACATATGGTGTCCCCACAACCTGTGTAACTGACACACAGGCACACACGTGGTGTCCACACATCCTGTGTAACTGACACACAGGCACACACATGGTGTTCCCACACCCTGCAAAATTGACACACAGGCACACACGTGGTGTCCACACAACCTGTGTAACTGACACACAGGCACACACGTGGTGTCCAGTGAGCAGTTGAGGAATGAGTGAACTTAAGGCTTCAGATGAGTCCAGGTCCTCTGAAGCACCTGGGACCTAGAAGTGGGACCCGGTAAATGCGCACAGGCTGAGACACCCACCGAAGTAGGAATGGTGTTGGTGATGCCGACTCTCTGGTTAGGGAGACCAAACACCACCACATCAAAAGGAGCAAAGTTTTGTTGGGGCAGAAGAGAGAGATACATTTTTTACCCCCTCCTCCTGAAAGTTGGGGTTCCATCTAGTCCCAGTCTCCTATATTCTTCCCTATCTATTGTCCCTTCCTTACAGAGACTCCCACATATCTGTGGCCCTGCCTTTCTTCCTGGTCTAGCCTCAGCTAATTTCGAATGAGCCTCTGTAGGCCCACACAAGGGTGCCTCCATCTGCAAACGAACCATCTGAACTCACAGCCTCCTATCGACTGTTTTTCCTGACTTCTGCGTTTTGGTGGTGGTGACACCACCATGCTCCATGTTTGAAAATGAGCAAAGGTGGGGCTCCTCACTTTTCCCAAGTTGTGTTCCATCTGCTCCCCATGGCTAACTCACTAACCACAGTGCTGTATACCGTGCCCTTTAGGGTCCCCTGGCACCTCACCCGGCTCCTCCACCTGCCTGGCTGCCTTGCACCCATGACCACCCTGGAAGAATATGTCTGTTGCAGTCACTAGGTCCATGTTCAGCCATGACATGCGACCTGAGCCAAACCCAGTCAGCCAAAGTTATTGTTTAGTTATGCGTGAGACCAGAGAGAGGAAGAATTCCTGGGGGCTCTGGAAGAGAAAGTGATCCTGTCTTCTGAGAGAGCTTCTTGGGAGTAAGTACCCTTCACCACCACCCTAAGAGACAGGAGCAAGGGGCAAGTGAGTCCAAAGAACTAAGTCTCGAACACCGTCTTTAAACAACCAGTTTAAGCCAAATCTATAGCTCAGGGTGCTTCTGAGTGCTAGTTACACAAACAACCAACTCTCTCCATTGTTTAAGCCACTTGACAGTCACATCACTGGTATTCAGAGAGGTCCTGACATTTTCTACCCCATCCCCACCCAGCAGCTTCCAGCTTCCTTACAGAACAGCCCCTGACAACAGAAACCAATGATGCCCCTGACACCAGACATCAGAACACTGCCCATGGCCTTGCAGATCTCAGCTTGGCCGGAGCTGGTTCCTCTGGCCTCATAGACCGAAGCTGTGAGTTTCGCCCTTGTTCAATCCTCTGAGTCCCCAGTTCAACCTAACATGAAGAAAACCTCAGACCATGCCTTTGTGAAGAGCTGGAATGAAGGAGAGGCTGGGGGCAGAGGCTGGGAGTGCTGTCCCAGAGGACTGAGGAGAGGCTGAGGGGAATGGGGGAGGCTGGGTGCACTGTGTCCCCAGAGATGATCTGGGGAGACTATTTCCTGTTGCACACACCCACTTTCCTTCATCAGGGTCCTGGGCTGACCTCAGCTGCATGGGCTCACACATCCTGCAGGCAGATTCTCGACCTTCCCCGGGCACTCCCCATCCCAACATCTCATCACCCCTTCAACCCCTTTCTGTCCTGAGGACTCCAGGGCTTAACTGCACTTGCTGAACCAGGACTGGGCTACGAACCCATGCAAGGGCAGGGCAATACAGCAAGAAGAGCACATAAGTCACTGTCTAATTGTCAGTCATCTCCCCTCCTTCCTGGCTCTGGGACCACAAGTTCTATTCAGGCAGCTCTCCTCTGAGGAATAGACTAGGGGCCCAGTTTTCGGATAAGGAAAACCAGGTTCAGAGCAGTTGGGCAACCTGCTTCTATCACCACAGCTGTAGGAGGGGGATCTGGATTCTAACAGAGGCCCAAGCATTTCTGTCCTCTGGGACCCCAGTCATCAGGCTGTGAGGAGAACATGTTTAAGGGTGGCTGCATATTGGGGTAGACATGCAGTTCATCATGATAGGGTCTCCTTCCTGTGTAACCCCCTAAAGCCGTAGAGGACAGACATGCTCATGTCCCTAGGGACACCCCTAAGGGAGGCACAGTCTCTTAGCCACGTGGTGGGAAGCCGTTCCAGGCAGTGTTTTGTTCAGACATAAAGCCCTTCTCCCTCTGGGGAAGACCCACAGCTCCATACAGACGTCCCCTTGTTCTCCCTGGCTCTGAGTCAGGGGCTGTATCCAGCAGGGCTCCAGGGAATCAGGACCATGGGCGGGGAAAGGGGCGAAAGCCCGAAAGCCAAGGACCTGTCAGTGCACGAGGTTGGCTCAGGGTGTCCCTTGGCTGGGTCATTCCTTGACTGGGAACCTGGCTGGAACCCCAGGCTTCAAGAAGGAAAGGCGAAACAATGCCTAGTCAGGAAGCATGCTCTACACTCTCTGCCCAGATGGGGACCCTTCAGGGGACCCTGAGTGTGAAGAGTCCCAGCTGGAGTGATCTGTGGCCACCTCCTTCCAGTGGGAGGTGATGTAGGCCCCTCACCCACCTCCTCCTTTCTGCCCAGCCTCTTCTTCTCAACAGCCAAATTCCGCCTGTGTGGGGAAGCTAGATTGCCTTAAAAGGAAGGCTGTTTCTTAGTCTGCTGAGGGCTTAGAGGGATGTGAGGTTCATTCTCAATCGCCTTTCCAGTTCTGGGGGACCGAAGACCTGTGGGAAGCTGTCCCTAGCGCGTAGGAAACTGGAGCTGGAGTTAAATAGCGCAGGGTACCTCTTCCTGGCCTAGTGGGCAATTTTTGCTCTCAACTTCATTTGTTTAGCCCCAAAATGGAGCACTCCCCATATTATGATGATTGGATAAGAATGTGCAAAAGGAATAGCGTATTACAGAAGGCATGCCTCTGGTTGCCACCTACAGCTTAGGCCAGATGTGGAGCCAGATGACCGATTTCCCTTCCCTTCCCTCCCTCCCTCCCTCCCTCCCTCCCTCCCTCCCTCCCTCCCTCCCTTCCTTCCTTCCCTGCTGATCCACATCTGGAAGAAGCAAGACTTGAGAAGCAACAGGTCAAATAAAAATCAGGAACCCCTGAGCTGTCTGTAGGCCCAGCTAATGAGTCTGGGACCAGCTCTTTCCATAGAGTTTAGTTCCCCCAGTTCCATCGGAGGCCTGCGATTCCCAGCAGGGAAGGCAGGGACCTGTGTCTTACATCAGACTTTCTGGCATGTGGCTCTGGGCGAACCAATCATTGCTGCTGGGCAAAGTAGCACATGGGAAGCACTTGGGAAGTAGAGGCGGGAGGATTACTGCTGAGATCCAGACCAGCCTGGTCTTGCTACCATGTTCTAGGACATCTTAGGGCTTCACAAGACTATCTGAAAACAACTCACTACTGTCTTCTACAATCGCATTATCCACAGTGGGTTCATTCAGAGAGTCTCATTTCCTTTGGGATTGTAGTCTCTGTTCTGTTTGACCTACTTAACTATCTTGACAATCTCAACAGAGAATAAAATCTAAATTTTCTGTTGAGTGGCGGATCATTCCCCATCAGCTACTTACTTGAAATCTCAAGATCCTCAGAGCTAACTAGAGGCTGGAAGGCAATGACTGTCCTTTTTAGACACAGTTAACTCACGTCTACTGCTCTGACTCATTGTCCCATTCCCAGCTATACAGAGATTCAGTCTTGAAAGGCTGCAAGATGGTGACCCTTATAGCAGTAGAGGAAGGGGTGAGCATGGGGTACATCAACAGAGGTGAGAGATTCAGCTGGTCATATTTCAGGTCAGAAGTATCACCTGGGCTCTAAGCCTGCCAGCCACCTATGCCCAGATGAGGGCCTCCCTCATCAAACACTTGACAAGTCACCTCACGTCTTTCTCCAATGGAAAAACCCCATCTCTCTGACTCCTTAATCCCTTGTTCCCTCCAGCAAAAGAGTGATTGTGACAGGCTCAAGGCACATGTCCCCACCTTCTTAGTCGGGTAGAGACCTGTTAGGTGTTTATTTTTTCTGGGTCAAAATGAGCTGCTAGAAGTTCTTTGAGCTCTTTGGAACCTGCCAGGTGGACAAGAGTACTGTCATTCTTTCCAGCCCGCAGCTGTCTCTTCATGTCCCCAAGCTCAGAGAACAGCCAGGGACAGAACCAGAGGGAAGGCGGGGCAAGTTCAGAACCCACAGAGCCTGCATCTTAGAGGTGACACCTGGGCACCCAAGGAGCAGACCTACCCTGAAGACAAAGGTCCCTGGTAGAAAGGGGACACCCCAAAAATGAGCTCAGTCTCAGCTTTATGGGTCCCCCAAAAGTCATTTCATTAGACCTTTGCATAGAGTTCACCTCTGAGAAGTCGGTCAACCCTCACTGAGCTGCCATTACCCAGGTCCCCCAGGACGTGACTGTAACTGAGTGTTCAAGCTCCCCCCACTCTGTGTACCCCCACCCTGCTCTCTACCCTTGGAGTTGAGAAATCTGACTGCCATATGTGCAGATGGAAACAGGGACCCATGACGAGGTGCATACTCTACTGCTGAGCTCCATCCAGCCGCAGACTTCCTTAAGTATTTCATAATGAGTACAGGAAACCTTATAATTATGATATGATCAAATCGAATTTACTTTTGTCTGGAGTGATGTCGAGAGCAGAGACAGTTAGTGTGTTGAACAGAGAGGTCTGAATGCTTTTGATTAATTTTTAAAAGAGGAAAACACATGATCACGTAGGCCTTACAAACATATTGCTGGCAGCTGACCTCTCTCAGGAAGATCTAGCCCACGCCTCCCTGTCTGCAGAAAACCCAGACCCCCTGGGGTGGGAACCTCCTTGTCTGCTGGGCTGCATTCCAGCCGTGAGCCTTCTATTTCTTCCTCAGACTCAGCCAGCTTGACTTTGGGAAGCACTGGAAATACCAGAGTCTGGAGACACTGGCTGCCTCGTATTTACACGCTTTACCATACATGGGAATTACTCTACACTGACGTCAGGCAAATTCCTGGGGAGCTGCGTAGTCCAAGCCACGTCATTACCATATAAAATTCTGACGAGGGGAAACAGCAGGCAAGGCTCCTGTTGGGACTCAAGCTGCTACCTCTCATTCCTCAGGCAGCAGCTCTTGGTGGGGAGGGGGGCTCCCCACTCTGGCTGCCTCTTTTTTTTTTTCTTTCCTGAAAACATGACTCCAATACACAGATCGATAGTAGGTGGGATGAAAGTACACCTGGGAAGTGACTGGCGGGGCTCCCTGTGCCCTCAGCCACCCAGCAGAGTGAAAACCTAGAGGTCAGCCATTCTAACCACGTCCCAGTCCCCTTCCATGCCGCAGTCACTGAAGCCCTGTCTGCTTTTAAGTAGTTGTCACCGCAGAGCATCTTATACAACCAATGACCCCCATTTCCTTAGGTGACCTGGAATGAGGAACCGTGAGGGAGCAAAGAAAAGCAGCAGCTGCTGGAGCTGTGTTTGAGCAGCAGCTCCTTGGGAGACCAGCTGCAGTCTTGGGATAGTCTCTATCACTGCTGAACCTTCCCCTCTGCAGACATAGCCAGCATCAGCTCCTTCCCGATGAACAATATCCGAGACGGCCCAGGTGAGGGATCTAGCTCCGGCCAGCAGGCAAACAGCAGGCACAGGCACTTGCGTGCTGTACTCTTGAGGAAAGACAACCAGTTTGGTGCCTCCGAGCATTTGCCAATGTGCCTGCATGATGCCAAAGAGCTGAAAAGGGAAGGGGGACTCCGCCACTAGCATCTCTTGGTGCTTAATGCAAGCCTCCTTCAGGCTTCTAACAAGTCACCTTTGTCAAGTGAGCTCTGCTTGCAGAACTAAACCTCAGGAGCCCAACTAATTCGCAACTAAATTCCTTTCTCCACCAGGAGACCCGCAGGGAATAAAAACTTGTGACCACTCCTGTCAGGGAGAGCCAGTTGGTGATAGATCCACAACTACACATATTCCATTTCCATTCAGTCACTTATCGGTTGACAGTTGACTGATTATTTTGTTTTTTGAGATAGAGCTCCAATAAGTAGCCCAGGCTGGCCCCTAACTTGTGATCCCCCTGCCATCATCTCCCAAGTGCTAGGATTACAGACACCTTCAATCACCCAATGTTGACTTACCATCAGTCAAGTGCAAACACTGCCCTCCCAGCCTGTAACTCAGACCCAGTAAGAACTGACTGACTCTAGAACACCTGGGCCAAGATGGCTGACACTAGGACAGACCACGTTTTCTTAGCAGGGTAGTCACAGAGATGGAGACCCTCCCTAAGCCCTCAGCCTCGGGGACAGTACTCCCCTCCACCACCTCAGGCCAGCACCACACCCTCTGCAGGATAAACTTCCTTCCCTGTCTGTCTGTCCCGCCCCGGATATCCTTGACAAGGCAAAGGGTTTCTGTGTAGTGCCAGCTGGATCCTCCAAGGGAAGGTAAACGCGGGCTAGGCCAGCCTCTCCCCAACAAAGTAGCCTGGGCTCCTAAGTAGAGAGCCGGGGAGAGAAGCAGAAGCATGGAGGAAGCTTTAGCACCCAGTCCTGAAGAAATCCCCAACCTATCTCAACAGAGCTTCTGCAGGGTGTTACAGACAGTGTGCGTGTGTGTGTGTGTGTGTGTGTGTGTGTGTGTGTGTGATATTCTCCAAATACTGGCCCAGAAGGAAACCGAGCTGTCACTTGTCCAAGTTCATCTGTGTACTGTCAAATCCAAGTCAAAACTCGGTTAGTTTGCCTTTCGGATACCCTGTCACCGAGATTCTAGAGTGCTTCTCATGCTAAGTGTTCACCAAAGGCAAGTGGACACCCTGCACGTACTATGATGGTAACCGAGTGCAGTGCCCTCTCAGTGTGGGGAGGGGCTGTCCATTCATTCACCCAAGAAGCAGGAAGTGGGTGGGATGGCTCTGACTTCACGTAATTGCTCACAGTCTAGACCTCTGCTCTGATGGATCACAGCGGTACAGCACCAGAAACGTGCAGAATTTACCCAGGCCTGTGCCGCTTGGATGAAACACCTGCCTGCTAACAGCTTGTTGGGTGGCACTGCCAACTCACTTAAATGTTGCTCACTCTCTGGAGCCCTTTCTGGTCCCCAGCTTTCAAGAAACAGTCACTGTTGGCTCTTTGAGATCTCAGCACCCAGTCCTCACCCAGCACCAAAACTTGGGCAGGGAGGTGCAAGGTGTCTGCTTCCATCTGGTTCTTTCAGGAATGAGAAAATCTATACCTGTGCTCTATGGCCACCAAGCCAGATGCTGCTCCCTCCCACTCACGGGCACTTTCTCCCAGGAAAAGAGTGAGGGAAGGGGTGGCACGGATGTCCTCATCCCTCAGCCTTACAATGAGAGTTAGTGGCCCACAGAATCGCCGATTGTTCTGCGGGACCTGCAGGCGGTGGGGGCGGCGGGGGAGGTCTAGGGCACGCGAAAACCAGCTGCTCTGGAAGTCCCGGAATGGGGAAGAGATCCAGCGTTTTCAGGAAAGGGAAGCACTGCCGGGCTAACTACGTCCACATCTTACCACCTCCCTCCTGTGTCACTTTTTCTACAAACTTTTCTTGCAAGCGACAGGGCTGCGGCGGGACGCGAAAGACCTGTAGGTGCAGGGTGCATCCCAGGCACTCGGGTAACAGTGGGGACCCGAGGCAAGCGATGCGGGTGCGCACTCACCTGGCGGTTGCTGGGAGGCACACGCGTGACAGCACTCCGGGAAGCCGTGGCTGGCTACCGACCGCGCGCCCGTTTTGTTTCCCCCCTCTGGAAGGCGTTTCCCGCCCCACGCCAACCAGACGTAAGTTTTGCACACTGCACTACAACGGGGCTGATGTCACAGCGCAAAGCCCCGGGAAGCTGTCCCCTCCCCCACGAAAGCCTGAAGCCCGGGCGTGGCCGGAGCCCTAGCTGTGGCGGTCTCTGGGGAAAAGGTTTTACTTGGGGGCGGGGGGCCGGGGTTTACAGGTTCCTGACCTGCTTGTCACGTGGGAAAGCAGAGATGTAACCTGAGAGTTCAGACCAGGGATAAACTTGGGACCCCCTAAGGAAGAGAGCCAGGGTCCTTAAATTTTCCTGTCCTGATGGCACACCAGAGTAAGACAAGCAGTGTGGTCCTACTTCATCCAGTGACTGACTTCCCCCAGACAGCTGATTTCAGGTTCATCTATAAAAGGAGAATGTGCCACCCGGGTGTGGTGGTGGTCGGGGGGGCGGGGTGGAGGGGGGGGATGAGATCCTGTAAGACCTGAGGTCTTTTGCTTCGCTGCCCTCCTCCAGCTCCGGGGTCTTGTCCCCTCACTCTGCTAAGTACAAGAGATCATTCTACCAGCCCCAAAAGCATCAGCTCTTAAGAGTACCTTTTCCTGGGCTCCTAACCTACAGTAATACGACAGACACAGGTTCAGGCCACCAGAAGCTGCCTCTGAGGTTGTACCCGGCCCAACTGCTCCAACTCACAGTGCGCCTGCCCGGAAACCCAAGGCTGGCGGCGGGCTGCTGCTTCTGGGCCCGGTGTGTGGCAGGAAGCAGAGCAAGTTTAAACTTTAAAAGGAAGGTCCGTTTTTCCCTAGCGGTGCAGACAGCGCCAAGCAAGAAGCATGATGTTTTCCTTGGGACTAACTACATGAAGAATCTGAAACAAAAACTATGTTCTCAGTAACAGAGAAGAAAGTGGGGACTGCGGTGGGGGATTAGCGCCTCAAGGGAAATTCTGCTCTCTTCTAGAGGATATTATTATCATTATTTGTTGTTGTTCTGTAAATTTGTTTTGTTTTGTTTGAGGCTGAGTCTCACTGTGTCACTGGCCTGGAATTCACTGTATAGACCAGGATAGCCTTGAATTCACAGAGATTCCCCTCCCTTGCTTCTCAAGTGCTAGGATTAGAGGACTAGTTTTTATTGTTATTATCATTGTTATTTTATAATTTGTTCACTGCATTTCTAAGACCAAAGGGACTTGGACTGGCATTGAAGGTCGAATTACTTTATTCTCACCAAGTGCCGGCTGCGTTGGGAAATAAGCCACACTCAGGTTTCAGAAGGACCTTCCATGCTGTGTAGGTATGCCCGTTTGGACCTTTCTGCTTCCCGTCATCTCCAGTAGCCTCAGAGGAAGGGCCTATTGTGTTCACTGGGGGCAGTCACTTTTGCTAAGCAGCCCCTCCGACCTAACAAATACCCATCTCATGTCATCTGTAGGTATGGCTTGGCATATCTTCCATTCTATATGTTGAGGGCCAGGCCCTCATGGGCTTCCTTTAAAGCCCTGGGGCTTGACACTGTGCTGTTAGACTTCAGCTCTCCAGGAAGACAACACAAGCTCAAGACCCGCCTGAGCTGCAGAGTTATTGAGAGGCCAGCCTGAGTAACTTCATGTGGCCTTGCCTCAAAACAAAACACAGGGCCAGTGAGATGGCTCAGCGGGCAAAGAGGCTTGCTGCCTGAGTCTGATGCCCAAAACCCACAGTAGAAGGAAAGAACCAACTCCCAAAAGTTGTCCCCTAGCCTCTACTTACTACCTACTCCCCAGCCCCAAACACCACGCACACACACACATGCACTCACGCACATGCACGCACGCATGCACACATAATAATAGTAATAATAATAAAAATCAAAGTAAAAGGAGGGCTACGGAGGTAACTCAGTGGTAGAGCACATGTGTGGTATGTGCACGGCCCTGCGTTCATTCCCCAGTGTCATAAATAAACAGACAAGTCAAGGACAGGAGCTGGGAATAACATTAAGCGTCTCATGATTCAGAACATGAACATTTATCTGGGGTTTTCTCCCATAAGAGACATCTACCCATTTTGCCAGACCCATCCTGTGAGAGAGAGACCCACAGTCTTGAGTAATCTTTGTCATCATCTTAACACAACCAAAAGTCACCTGGGGTGAGAACCTCACCTGAAGAATCACCTCAACCAACTCGGCCTGTGAGCATGTCAGTGAGAGTTTTCTTGCTTGCTAACTGTAGATCGGTTAGGAAGGCCTGGCCAACTGAGGGCAGTCAGGCTGCACTGAAAAAGATAGCTGAGCCAGATGTAATGACGCACGCCTTTTATCCCTGCACTCAGGAAGCAGAGGCAGGCAGATCTCTGAGTTCGAAGCCAGCGTGATCTTTAGAGCGAGTTCCAAGACAACCAGGCTACATAGAGAAACCCCATTTCGAAAAACCAAAATAAATAAATAAATAAATACAGCCGTCTGAGCATGAGCCCGGCATGGAGCCAGTAAGCACCATTTTTCCATGGTGTTTGCTCAAATTCCTACCCTGACTTCCCTCCGTGATAGAATGTCCCCTGAAGTATAAGCTAAATGAATGTTTTCCTCCTCAAGTTGCTTTTGATCATGGTGTTTATCATAGCAACAGCAACAACAATAAAACCCCAAACTAAGATGCTCTCCCAAGCTGGAATGTCTGTGTTTCCTGCAGAAAATATTGCCATCCCAATCTGATATAGTCAAGACTGGGGGAGAAATCTAGGGACCTCTTGTTCTTTCTATTCTGAAAGGTATATTAAACTGAAGAACTACAGTCAGTGTTAGAGGCTGTGGGCTCGCTGCCTGGAAATGTCGCTCCTGAGGTTGAGGTTCCCCTGAAGCATCGCGACTCAGTATCTGGGAGAGAGGAACTTTGGACTTTTGCCCAAGACTACAAAAGAGCAAAGACTTGCTTGCATTTCCTTCTTTGGTCTGGGTTTGTCCTCTGCGGCTCTGTTGGTAGACCTTCCCGTGGGGGCGTACCAATCTGTTCTGTGGAATGTTCCTAGGACGAGCCAAGGAAAGGAAAACAGAAACCGCCATCGTCTTTCTCTCAGTATCTTAACGCACTGTGTCAAGAGACTGATATTCAGTGTGTCATCCAAACTCACACAGGTATGGGTACCCTGCTCATCCATGCAGTATACACAACTTAGGGATGTAGGCAGAGTTGGATGGAGGTAGGGGAAGTCAAACAGGTCCTTCCTTCTCTCCCATTTTCTTCAGGACCTCACATGTTTGCTTATATTGACCTCCTTGCATACTGCTGACCGTGCGGGCTTGGTCTTTGGGAGCCCATTAGCAGAAAAAGAACGCCTTGAAAGAGTAGAGTTAAAGATAATGTTGGCTTACAAGCCCTTCAAAAGAAAATGTGAGCTTTGTGTTGAAATCAGACAGTCCAGACCCACATTGGAGCACCGGACAGAAATCTCAAGGTCCAAATCAGGAGCAGAAGGAGAGAGAGCATGAGCAAGGAACTCAGGACTGTGAGGGATGCACCCACACACTGAGAGAATGGGGATGTTCTATCGGGAACTCATCAAGGCCAGCTGGCCTGGGTCTGCAAAAGCCTGGGATAAAACCGAACTCGCTGAACATAGCAGACAATGAGGACTACTGAGAACTCAAGAACAATGGCAATGGGTTTTTTGATCCTACTGCACGTACTGGATTTGTGGGAGCCTAGGCAGTTTGGATGCTCACCTTACTAGACCTGGATGGAGGTGGGTGGTCCTTGGACTTCCCACAGGGCAGGGAACCCTGATTACTCTTTGGGCTGACAAGGGAGGGGGACTTGAATGGGGGAGGGGGAGGGAAATGGGAGGAGGTGGAGGGGAAGAGACAGAAATCTTTAATAAATAAATAAATTAAAAAAAAAAAGAAATCAGACAATCCAGAAAGCATTGTCAATACTTGGGGTAGCACTTATGCCTAAATTTCCTTGGGACAGAGGTACTGGTCCTTGGTGATACTAGTCCTATATAAGTGGGCCCAGACTGGCTCTATTCAGCCCACACCTATAGATGACACCAGATGATCAGAGACAATAGCAGTCTTAGCTGGAGCTGGGTGCCCCAGAGGAGGCTTGTCACACACAGGTGAGGGTAGGGAGATGACAAATTCAGTGTCAGGAGACTTGAAGCACATGGGGTGTCTAGTGGGCAGTTGTACACACAGCCAAGGAGGGACTGGGATTGCAGATAGAGGTTTGGGGTTTTCAGTCTAGAGAGAATTTGGGAAGATGAACAGCTCAAGACTCCAAGGGACACTGCTACTTGAGAGTGGCCAAGAGCCCACAATGGAAACTGAGAAGGAACAATCAAAGACCGAGGGCCAACACACATGGCACGGAGGTCAAGGGAAGGTTTCAGAGAAGTGGAAACGGTGACATGCACAAGGTCCTTGTCTTGATGTGTTAGAGGAGACCTGTGAGGCTTGGAGACACCAGGGAAAGAAACCGAGTGGGAAAATCAAGAAAGGTAATGGCTGGTCTGGCCCAGTGACCCATGTCTTTAATCCCAGCACTCAGCAGGCAGGGGCAGGCAGATCTTTGTGAGTTCGAGACCAGCTTGGTCTATACAGTCAGTTCCCCCAAAAGGTTAAGATCACCTTAAACATCTCTTAAGCATAACTGTGTACATCCCTTCACGACTGAACCCCTTAGGATTTCTTCACCATTCCCAGAGACCCCCGAACATTCGATTCATCTACTTTGAGCATTCTGCAGTGAATCCTCAAATCACAGTGATGTCACAAATCTGCGGGCAAGATGGTTCTGGCGGCAAAGCCTGCTGCTCAGTTCGGACCGTATCCTCCAGACGTGCATCACTTGTCATGCTTCTCAGGGGACAGCAGAGTCATTTAGAGCTGAAGTGGACCCCGCAGAAAAGAAAAGCTCCCGAGAACAGTCACAGCCACCGTGCTTTTAAAGAGCCAGTTTTAGGGCTGGGAATGTAGCTCCCTGTTGGTAGAGTGTTCACTTAATACACAGGAAGCCCTGAGTTCAATCCCTGGCATTGCATAAAACCAGGCATGCTGGCACATGCCTATGATCTGATCATTCAGGCG